CAGGTTGATGAGCATTTATGTCTTTAAAATTAATGAATTCATTATTTTTGTTTATTGCAGCACCACAACCAGTGAATGCTTTACATTTATATTCTAGTGATGAGGACACTTTATTTATAAGATGGAAGGAACCCTTTCCACCAACAGGAAAAATAGAAGCGTACAATTTTACTCTCAGCGACACGTCAATTCTTACTACAATGAATCGTACGTTTTCTTGCGAAATTTGGCGCGAATTTCAGTGCACAAATATAAAGCGGAAAGAAAAAGTTAGAGTTTACAAAATGACGGTGAGTTTGTAAGAATCTTATAAGTTTCATTTAAAAAAAAACAGTCATATATAAACTGACATAACTTTGAAGCTGAGCCAAATAAACAAAATTGTCCTAGGTTCAAACCAAAAACTACGAAGTTGCAGAATGGAGTGAACCCAATGATTTTACTATAAATGTCAAAAATGGTTCGTCTTTTACCAGTATAAACGTAATAAATTATTTTGATTTTTTAGTAACTCAAGCACCTCAAAATTTGCGGGTCGAATTAAGTCCACAATCAACAGACGAAGTGATACTCAGATGGGAGTACCCACTTTACACATCTGGAAAAATTGAAAAATTCCGTACAGTACTAAAGAGCAGCAGTGGGACAGAAAATGATACGATCCAAGTTTCCAATAAGATAAACTATAAAAAAACTGTATAATACTCTACATGTGTTCTACACCAGTCAACAACGAGATTGTTTCAGATTAAAATCAAGTATGGTATTAAATACAACTTCACTGCTTGGGCACAAAACGCTCATAATGGTAAAAAAGCAACGATTTATTTCGTAGTCTCTAAACCCATTTCTAAATTGTCGAATCAAGCGTTTATATTATGGTGTGGAGAAAAATGTCATTTAGTAATACCAAAATCAAAAACACTAGAAAATACGAATTACAACATTACAATAAAACAACATAATAGAACCAAAGAGGAGCACAAAGGGAAAGGATTAATTTCTCTTTCGGAAGATAAAATTCTCTGCGTGGAAAATAACCGAGCATGCGACATCCACTCAAAGTTCCAAGAGGTGGCAAACCAATCTTATTTTCTAAAAATAGACGGTGAAGAAATTCCTATCGAATTTACACCGCCTGAAGAAACAAATATTATTATTGTGGCGGTTGTGCTAAGTGTAATCTTTCTTGTTGCCTTCCTTCTAGGATTCTTGTTTTACAGGTTAATTTACTCAACGCCCAGTAAAAATTGTTACCTATTTATGTCGTTACAGGAGAAAAAGACAGAAATATACACTGAAAAAATTAAAAAACATACCAAGCATAAAATTCTCAGACCTTAAAGAAAAAGAAGCACTAATGGTCAACAACAACGAAAGCGATCCTCCTTACGAACCTGTCAAGATCAACCATTTTGCGAATTTCTTCTCAACGGCGCTCGACGATGACCCAGATGATAACATAATAACACAACAATTCGAGGTCAGCTTAAAACCATTCGTTGCGTTCTTAAAAACAACCCTTTTCAGGCGCTGCCTAGAGCAAGGGTTACAAATTGTCAACAAGGCCAGCTACATGAAAATGCTAACAAAAACCGCTACAACAATGTCTTGCCATGTAAGCACAGTTTAAAACATTTACTAATCTAACCACTTTTTCGTTTCTAGATGACGACACTAGAGTAATTTTGCAAGGAAACAGCGAGGGAGACTACATCAATGCAAACTACGTCGACGTAAGTATCTCTTTGACAAGACTTCGACCTGATTAAAATTGTCCAGGGTTACGACGTCCCAAAAGCCTTCATTGCCACTCAAGCCCCTTTGGCGTCCACCGTGCACGATTTTTGGTACATGATCTGGCAAGAGAATGTCAAAATCATAGTAATGTTGACCGAAATCGAAGAAAACGGGAGCGTCAAGAGTGAAAAATATTGGCCAGAAGATAACTCTCGTTTCAGGTTTGGAAACTTCCTCGTTGAAAGTGTTTCTCGAAAATCGACTTCGCACTACATCCATCGGGAGTTTCAAGTAATCTTTAATAAGCAAAGTCGTTTGGTTGACCACTTCCAGTACACAGCGTGGCCCGACCACGGAGTACCATTGTACGTTTCGGAGTTTGTTGCATTCGTGAAAAATGTATTGAAAATGGAACAGAACACTCCCGTAGTCGTACACTGCAAGTGAGTTAAAAAAAATTTAACACTGCGTATGACTTTAAAGTATATCCAGTGCAGGGTGTGGCAGGTCGGGTACTTACATTCTATGCAACATTCTCATTAAAATGGGTGCGAAAGAGAAGCGGTTGGACTTTTTTGGGGTTTTGAAGCGAATAAGAGATCAAAGGGCTGGTCTGGTGAGCAACGTAGAACAGTACATTTTTTCGCATCAGGTCATATTAGAGTATTTCTTCGGAGAAGATTTTTCTATTTCCATTGGTGATAATTTTGAAGAGGAGGTACAAAACGCTTTAATTGACTTCAATATAAAACACATGCTCAAATGTTTGACACGAAACAAGAGACCTCAATTTAAAACAACCGCGCTACTCACCGACGAAGAAAAATCCAAAAACCGGTTTTCTAAAATCTTGCCGGGTAAGTATAACACGAAATGACTTTTATTTCTCACGAGTCGAAAATAAACGCATTTCTTCATTCGCATAGGTCTCGCCCAAATTTATTTGCCAATATCTTCGCTCGATTCCTCAAACTATATCAACGCTGTAATCGTGGACTGCTACCAATCTCCCAAAAAATTCATCGTGACGCAACAACCCCTACCCAACACTGTTGGAGACTTCTGGAAACTAGTTCATGAATACGAAATCGACACAATCTTGTCCTTGAACACAATAAACGACAAAGACGTGGTAACACCTCTAAATTTAGTCCTATTTCAAACACTACGTTACCGTATTCCAGGGTTGCCCGAAATTTTGGCCCAACGAGGACGAAGGTAGTTGGAGCTTCAATTCCATGAAATTACTTTTTTTCAACCAAGAAACTGAGAACCCTTCATACAACTTAGTACGACTCAAAGTACGGAAAACGACGGAAGACAAAACGAAGAACGTCATTGTAATAGACCTGAAAAATTGGAGACGGAAAACACTTAAGCCTTCGAATATTAAGGATTTAATTCATGTTTGGCAGAAGATTATGACGTGTAAAGGGAAAATTGTTGTCAGTTGCTAGTAAGTCGAGGCAATATTGTGATTAGTTTTTTATTGGGTTGAATTTCAGCGACGGGGCAACTGCTAGCGGACTTTTCGTGGCGTTGGCGTTTGTGCTCGAAAAAATCAATTTAGATAATTGTTGCGACGTTTTTACTGCCGTTAGAACCGTGAAACAGAGTCGGGCACAGTTCGTCGAACACACTGTGAGTGACTAGTTTCAATTTTTTGATTTTGTGGTAATTTTTTTTTTTTTTTGCAGGAACAACTGAGATATTTGTATCAAGTCGCTCTTGAGTATATACGGGAATTTAACACTTACCAGAATTTTACCTGATCGAACTGGTTTGCTATAGTGTTTTTTTATACGCGATAGATATAAATCTCCATTTTTATTAACTTGAAATGTAACTGCTTACTAAATATAGAAAATATATGTTATTCTGTGTTGATTTTCAATTCATCATAGACATATGGTATTTCATCACTTCTTTCTTATTTCTTAAAAAAAACGACAAACCAAAAATTATTTGTAATAGTGAGTACAATAAACCAAACACAGAGCTAACCTTTCTGAAAAATTACAATCGAAAAACTCAAAACGTAGAACTGGAAGAATGCAGGTCCTGTCTGAATTCCACAATTCCCAGCACTCAGAAAATACAAACGGATTCTTAACATTATAGACGACATAAATAAAAAAAGTGACTCGAAACCCATTTTAGTGATGTGCCAGAGAGTATTTTGATCTGTTTTTAACCAGTCTTGAAAATGTCGAATTCATAATGATGATGTCAGAAAGAGTGGTATATATTCGTTACTTTAGACTACGTAATCGAAAAATGCAAGAAAAATTTCCAAGTGGACGTTTGCAATGCCATAAGAAACGTCAGAAGGAACGACTTACCTTTTGTCCAAAATCCTGTTTTAACACAGAAAACGCTTCAAACGCTTAACATCATTACGCAAAAATATATTAAAGTGCAAAGTGTAATTCTCCAATGAGCAACTACAACGGCTTGTGACGAAAAGCAAAATAGCGAATGCATTCTCAACTTTTTTTTAACGTAATTTTCAGGGTGAAGTACCTGACGGCTCTAGATTATTTGAAGAAGTTGGACACGTACGCTTACATATTACAACTAGATAGGTATTATAATTCACTTTAAAATAGACATGAAGCACGGGCTGTAAATAATACGAGGAAAAATGAAAATTGCAGGCAGTCCAGTCATAAAGCTGTCGAACGAGAGAGCGCACATTCACTACTTCTCTTACGAAAGACAGCTTTAAAAAAAAAATGCTCTCGCAACTTGTGCTGCTGGCTTCCTTGCAATAATTTGCGATATTATTAGTTTAAGCTTCGTCTATGATTGCTATACTAAAATCGCCGAAAGGAATTTTATCTATATTGAAACTTATATACGTACTTACTTATTTAATGCTTTTTTCGACGAATATGATTTTTAATGCATATTTTGTTCAAATGCCCGCCTTGCCGGGATGATAAAACCTTACTTCTTTTAATAATGAGTTAAAACTTTTAACGAGATGCTCTTTTTCGGCATTTTGCGGCAAGACCGTTTAAGATTTTCTAGAAAAGGGATTATTTGTCCCAGCTATCTACTTTTAAATTTTGCTAATGGAAAATTTTGAGTAAATGAACCATTTACTTTACAACCATTAGTCCATCACATCTGTCATAGTGTAGTTCTTCCTTGTTAAGTGTAGGGTTCTTTTTGTTAATATCTTAAAACAATGCCGAAAGTAAAATTTACGCCGAATGAGTGGATACGGGACTTTACAGAGTTCAAGATAGAAAACAACAAAATATTTTTCTTTTGTTAATCCTGTGTACATTGCTTTAGATTCAAAGTGATAAAAAATATAACGTGACGCAACATGTCAGAACGACTCTCCATGTAGAAAGGAAGAACAAGCTTAAAATTTTAAAAATTAAACACCAGACCATAATACAATAATACCTTCCCCTCACTCTACGGCCCCCTTTCGACCTGGTGGACCGAGCATGAGGGGAAGGTCTTCCCGAAAACACGTGGCGTGCCCATTTGATGACGCCACGTGTTTCGACAACGGCACCAAAAACTTGCAAGAACCTTGGTAATCGTTAGAGACAGTTACAGTTCCTACACTACATCAGTATCTAGTAAATTTTTACAACCGCTACTTTGAGGGATTCCCGGACAATAAAAGGAGTGTGCCGCCAGTGTACTCGTATAGTGGGCTAGAAACATTCAGGGTTGCATTGAATTTGTGACTTATGGTTTTGTGGGTACAACCTTCATGGTTAACTTTGAAATACCAATAAAATTTTATTAGGTACTGATGTAGTGTAGGAACTGTACAAAAAAATTGGTCGAAGACTATTTCGACAGAACTTTCCTCGCTCCACAGGGGCAAATAACACCACCTCAATCCCTCCGCCTCGAGGATGTAAATTCCAAGAGGGCACGCTCTGAACAAATGCGGACAATATGAAATATATTTAAAGCAGATAATCAGTGGGAAAAACGTATTCTTGTACTTGAGACTTTGTTCTTTTCTGGTTGGCAACACTAATTCCACGAAAAATCAAACTTTGATAGAGATAATGGGGTCCACTAATATTGAGCCATTTATGCCCATTTGCACCAACGTTAGCAGTAAGCATTGCTTAGCTAAGCAATTCTTAAAAGTAACTACTTCTTAAATTGTACAGTTGTTGCACCGTCACTGCTTAGACTCTACTTAACCAAGTAATACTTAGTTGGGGAATTGTGTAAAAGTTTCATTTCTATTGGCAACACTGACGTTTGTTGTTATTGGAACATCAAAAATTTTAGGTTAGTTTGTTGTGTGTACGACAGTCAATGACACCGCGCGTATGTAGTTGTGATATTGTTGAATTAATTTTATGTGGTGTTGAATGTGTGTTTAAAAAATGGATGTGTTCGACGCGTACGAGGATGACTTAGAAGTCATTGAAATTGTTGAGATGGGAATTCCACGGCAGATGTACACTAGAGCTGATCATTTCTATGGTTTACCAGAGCTTCAATTTTTCCAAAGATTTCGACTAACAAAACCAACAGTTTTACATTTATTAACGTTAATTGAAGAACGTTTGGAATTTCCTACAGACAGGTAAAAGTGGTTAAAAAATTTAATGTGTAAATATATTATGATTTGATCATTACAGAAATCAGGCGGTGTCACCTATAAATCAGCTGCTTACTACATTACGATTCTTTGCAAGCGGGGGCCATTTGAGTACAGTAGCGGACTATATGGGAATGCACATCTCAACTGTGTCGAGAATAATTAGACGTGTATCGGACGCTATAGCAAGGCTTTACCACCATTTTATTAAGATGCCCCAAACTCTCATGGAGCAAAGGCTTATTCAAAATGGTTTTTTTGACATCGCGAGATTCCCAAGAGTGATTGGGGCCATTGATTGCACTCATATCAAAATTGAATCACCAGGTAAAGATTTAAAAAACCAAAAACACATTCTTTTCATTGGAACGTTTTTAAGGTGGAGAAAATGCTGAAGTTTTTCGCAATCGGAAAGATTATTTTTCAATTAACGTTCAAGCCATGTGTAATGCGAATATGGAGTTTACAAACGTAGTTGCTCGGTGGCCTGGTTCTACTCATGATATGACCATTTTCAATAACTCGATTTTACGAGCAAATTTTGAGAATGGAGATTATCCAAATTGTATAATATTGGGTAAGTTTCAGTTTTTAATATGTGTAAAAATACATTGCATTTGTTTTCAGGTGATGGTGGCTATGGTGTAAGACACTATTTTTTTACACCATTATTAAATCCACACACTCAAGAAGAGCAGTTGTATAATGAAGCTCATATTCGTACAAGAAATGTCATCGAAAGAACTTTTGGTGTCTGCAAACGAAGATTTCCTGTGCTAGCATATGGATGTCGATTAAAAAAAGAAACTGTTTTGAGTATTATAATTGCGTGTGCAGTCCTGCATAATATAGCTCGACAAATGGGTGAAGATGAACCTCCTCTCCCAGCTGACATTAACCAGCATGAACTGCAGCGACTTATTGAAGATGGTCAAATACCAGAGGTCAATGTTATTGACAACCAAAGGAGGGGCAGTGAAATTAGAAGAAATTTTATAACAAATTTTTTTGGAAATTTATAAATTTAACAAATAAATGTTTTATTAATATTTTATTTTATATTTTATTGTTTTTCCGTATTATCCTGTTTCAGTTTTCTCAGCTGCTCCTTTTTTATTTCAATATCTAGTTCTAAAATTTGCTTTCGAAGCAAAAATTCAACTTGCTTTCTTTCTTCGTCATGTTTTTGTCCTTCGAGTTGTGCCTCAACTAACTCCATTTTCTTTGTAGCTAGTTCGTCGTAAGTTTTCGACAAATGGCTGGAATGTAGTGCTGTTATTGTTGGCCTCCTCCTATTAATGACTGTTTGTAACTCCTTTGATTTCTTTTTTTTCAGGTGTTCAACTTTATAATCACCCCAGTCAGCTTTAAACTGCAATTAATTAATATATATAACAGATGATAACCAACACAGAAAAAGCTTACATTTGCATTTTCTTCCCCTTGGTCATATGTATCAGAAAACACTCGTTTTTTTGTTTTGTGAACCTCATCCATTGCTTCAGGTATGTGTGGAGAAGAGGTGGCAATGGGCACCACATTATCGTTTTCATGGTCTTCGTTATCTTCTTCACCTATAGTTTGCTATAAAAAAAAAAAATAAGACCAATTTTTATGATGCTGTTCAACTTACAAATAATTCACTATCCCCGCCGTATTGAGTTTCCAGTCCATACACTGAATTCTCATCCATGGTGGCTAACGTTAGCTGCAGGTATGGATCCTCACATTTTGAAGATGAAGGACCACCTCCTGTTTTTCGCATAAACACTTTTTTATCGGCCACTTCTTTTCGCACTTCTTTTTTTTTATTTGTGTAAAATTTTTGTAATGAGGTTACACTCCTCATGGCACCGCTAGGACTACATGAATTAAATTTATTCGTTAGTTCTTCCCAGCACCGCTGCTTCTCCTTATTTGTAACAGCGTCCGTTTTTTTATTTTCTATAATATGACGCTGTTCACTGATTAATGTTAAGACAAAGGTCTTTTCATCTGCCGTAAAATTTGCTCCACGCTGGCGCTTTGTATTATTCATCTGAAAATAAAACATATGTACATAATTCTTTACAACAAAACGTTGTAATTGTGGTACATACCTTCTTTATATTATTTTTTGTCTTGTTAGAACTTTATTCCACACTTTTCACCGCTGATTACAAAACACTCACGAACGCTGCTACTGTTGAAAGGTTGAAATGGCAAATGGCTGAAATGATTGCAAAATTGCAAATTTTCGATTTCCAAAACCATCATCCAATAGAAACGAAGTATTGTTCCGTTACTATGGCTACCGCACATGCGTTGTATCGTTGTGTCTCGTTAAGCACTGCTTACAAATTTAAGCCACAGGTAAACGGGCACTTAAATTAAGGATTTCTTAGAAGGCTTTAAGAGAGAGTTAACCGTTGGTGCAACGCATTCTTAGTTTTAAGAAAAGCTTAAATTTTAAGTACCTGACTTAAACGTTGGTGCAAATGGGCATAAATCACCTATTTTCCTCTTCATCAAAACCCTCATATTTTAAATAGCTGCCATCATTTTCTACACTGTAGTTGTTTGTCACTACTTATGCATTGTTAAAGATAGTTATCGACGTTTAAATCAACGAGATTTATTGTTATTCGTCTCAAAAACAGATTAGGCATTATAACTATCATTAAATAGTAATCAAATTAAATCCCTCCCTATTGGTCTGTTCACAAATCAAATAAACTCAATATTTTTTGCCAAGAAAACAGTAACAACACATATACTTAGTACAATCACCAATCACTGTCAAAATTGGGACAACTGGTAAATCTGAAGAAAAATTCGTTAAAATTTTATACCTTAAAACCTGGGAACGTTGGTAATAAGTAAAATATTGACGTCTGATTTTTTTTTATATCCTTCTTTATGGAAATAATTGTCTAACGATTAATAAAGACCACACAAATTTGTTCGCTTCAAATTACAACAATGTATTTACTTTGTTTTTATTGTTTACGTAACAGAAAGAAAATATTAGACATTTAAGACAGAACCTAACTGAACGAAATTTAATATTTCTTTCCGAAGATTGGACATAAAATATAAACAAGTAGTCACACTGACAACAAGCACATATTTTTATTAATTTTAATCGAAAGATTTTATGAGTCACCGAAACTAACTTAAATAAATATTGACTTAAAAAATATGTGCGTCTATAAATTGTTACATAAAATACACTGAAATGTATGATCATATCTTTTATCGCATAGAAAAACATCGACTTTAAAATTTGAGATACGTTTTTTTTTGCAAACACTCTGCTGTTTTTAAATGTGATATGACTCATTATATATTTACTACTGATTTTTTTACGGATAGGTTTTTCTTTAGTCGAACATCGAACATTTTTCATTCCACTCAGATCATAGTGCGGCTAGAAAAGAATGAAGTTATTTTTGTACAATTATGTATTCGCGAGTGTGTTAATTTTAGCGGAAGTTATAACACTAATTAAAGATAGTACAATTACGTGTGTTTTAACAGACGATTCTGTTAACTCCACTATATACGTAACAAATAAAGATAACCCTGTAGAACTTAAACGAATAATCCAAGAAATAACCAACATACATGACGATGATTGGCAACGGACAAATTCGAGTATTAACTTTCGGCCAGTACTTGATCAACGTTGGACAAGTGAGTAAAGCACACAACAAAAGGACATTTCTATTCTATAGCGTTTCCCAGCTTTTAGTGCAGATATTAAAGATCTGACAATTAAAAACCGATTCTCACTGTGTTTAAAACAACATTCGACAATTGTTTTACATAACATTAGATACAAACCCTTTATAAAAATACGAAATGTGAGTATGTGACAAAAACGCATTTCTTAAATTCACTAATTTTTCGCTGTTAAAGTTGAATATTACTACCTACTCCGCTTGTCAGTGGCGACACTACGAAATAATGAAAAATCGTACACATGTGAGTCTAGTCAACACTGAAAACAACAATGTTGTTAATGTAACAAAACTGGACTTTAAACCGGCATGGATAATATTTTCTCCATACAATTTAAATATTAAAGTACATAAATGTAAGAACTTGATGCTAAGATAACAATCATATAACAGCTATATTTTGCAGATGAATTTCGATACTCTACAACAACTAGCACAAAACCATCATACATTAGCATAACATCTTTGAGTTGCGTCTCTTTTTATGTTTCTGTTGATGAAGGATGTTACCTAGACATTTCGGTACAACCAGCAAACAGTACTACAAAAATAGCCGGATTTAACGAAAAGAACAAATTAAAACGGTGGAAAAAATACGAAATAAGGACTGATCCTAAAGCGATTAGTCAAACGCTTTCGATTGTCAGAGGACGAGACGACAACGGTACCAAGGGTTATTGGGCAATTGATGATATACACACTTGTAGTTCCGAAATAGGTAGATATTTTTACTAAATTAAACTAAACACCGCTTCGAATACTTTCATCTCGAAATACGTGCGTATAAACCTTAGCTACAAAATTATTTTCAGTTACTTATCGAACCGACTTGAATACATTCTGGACTAACCAGACTTGTGCAGAATTAAACTCAACTGGCTCTGTAAGTGAATTTTGTGACAATGCCACTCTAGGAAAACAGTGTCATATTAAATGCGATGCAGTTTTTGGGTTGTTATATCCCAACTGTGAGAACCATCGAATTTGCGTGTCAGAAAATAAATGTCACTGTGCCTGGGGTTTCAGGGGAGAAAACTGTACCGAAGGTGTTACGTAAACAACTGAAAACTGTTAAAATTACTATTTCTTATTTTAGAATGTGTAGGAGATTCTTGGGGATTAGATTGTTCGAAAAATTGTACTAACTGCGAAAAGTGTGATAAGAAAACCGGATGTCAAAAATGTAAGTCACAGTACTTCGGGGAACAGTGTGTGTATAAATTTCCCGTCGTGAAAAGGCCACCTATTTTAGAACCCACTGACGACGATTCGATAAGAATTTTAACAAATATTGAATACGGACAAGACGAAGAGAAGGCAGAACATTATTATATTCAGTGGAGAAAGGTATATTACATCTAAGTAAGTTGTTGCTTGTTTTTATGTAATGTTGCTAGCTTGAGAGCAACGATGGGTTTGAAAATTACACAGACCAGCAATTCCCCATTACAAAAAATAATGAATCGCTCTCAATAAATTTTTCGCGAGATGATTCTTATCAGTTTAGAATAATATTGGTTAGCCCGAATTCATCATTTCAACAAGGTACCATCCCGGAGTTAATCGTATACAAAAGTAAGTAATTAATATAATAATACAATACAGGGTGTTTTTGAAAGGTATGTAAAAAAAATAATTGGACATGAGTACACATGTCAAACTCAAAATCACGTCAAATCAATTTTTGTTTTTGAGACAAAATTCGCTAAAAAAATGAATCAAAATTTGGCATGCGTCACTGATTTACGGCAATTCGTTGTTTGTTAAGCAATATTTGCGGCGGGCTAATTTTACTTTCAAGTAAAGAACAATAATCGTAGTTCGGCAACAGAAAGAATCATTTTTGACATCTTTTCGCCGAAATGCTTTCAAAGAGGTTTTCTTGAAAAATACAAAGTTATACAAATGCCGAAATGACTGACATGGTCTTAATGTATGGGAGAATATCTGGAAATGGTCTTGAAACTCGACGTCTCTACGGACCATGGAACTTTCAATACCGTTGCACTTTATTAATATTTGTCATTGGCGCAATAAAAATATGGTGTATATGGGTATTTTTTTGTGAGAATGATGCAACGAAGAAAGTTTTGTATAGCTTTCCAAGATGGTCGAATATACAAATTTTTTTGCATATCTTTAAAAACACACTGTAGTTAAAACTTTAAAAAGACAATTTTAGAATCTTTGACTACACATGTGGAAGACGATGATACGATCGTATTAAACTGGACTAGACATGAAACTAATATGTACAAGATAACATACAAGGTATAAACATCGACAATATTATACTGAATTCTGTTTCCTCTCTGTCAAACCCCTGCAACGTTTCAGAAATTCTGCACATTATTTAGCACACTTCCTTTAAAAAATTCTTTGCTTTTTTACTATCCCTATTTTTCTTTACATTCAAAATTGTGTATCCGTGTATTGATAAATGTACCAGCGTTTGTAAAGTAAACATTCTGTTTCGTTGATATCTACACCGACCGGCATAAAAAACAGACCAGCTAATAGTACAGTGCTTCGACCTTTTTACTACGCTTATTTTTGATGTTGTTTCTTGAACAGCATATTAATGGAGTGTACCTGCACCCTACACTTTAGACGAGCTTCAGAATATGCTTTTAAAATAGTGAGAGAATATCAAAAAAGAATATTTTTCATGGGAGACCCTAGAAAATGGCAGCAGTCTTATAAGTTTGTGGAGGAAATACTCGTTATTGACGTCCTTAAATGGTGTGCCCAATGAACATTGCTTTTGCTTTTTTGAAAACTTTAATTTTTTTTCAGCTTTGTTTATTGAATTTTTTTTCATTTTCTATTAAAATATATATTTTCTAGTTCTTTTTGGATAAAAATATTACAATAACCGTTGCATAACAACATCAAAGTATTGCAACCAAAATCGTACTTTATTTTGGACATTTTCGGATCTTAAAAAAAAAATACGGGTGACGCGTTTTTTGTGCCGCTAATTATTTAACTTTGCCTTTTTGTTGTTCTTTTGTAAGCAATATTTCTTTAGTTCTCTTATTTCGCTAAAGTTATAAATTAACGTGGTTTATCTTCCCTCTGTCCTCTGGTTGAGTGCCATCATGTATGATTTAACTCTTTTCTTTTTTGTATTTAATAACACTTTTTAATAAGATTAAGCGTTTGCATCTCTTTACATTTTAGTGTCAAAAAACATTCTGCTCCCACGAAGCATTGGAAGAATATAACATCACATCTAAAACATCTATCCAACTAACTATAAAACACTTTAAAATATGCAGCATCAAGTTGTTCGTTATAAAAGATGGAAACGATGAGTTCAAAGAACAAATAACTGTGATAACTCAAAATTCAACGAAGGAAATACTTCGCGCTGAATTACCAAGAAATGTTACCTTCTTGAAAAATCAAATCGTCCTCGAATTAAACAAATGCGACAATTTTAGAGGACCATTGAAATATTCAATTGAACTTATATGCATAAGCGAGTGGTGTACAAATAAATCTACGAAACTTGATTCGTATCATTTACTAAACTACTCAACTAACATTACTAGAGATGTAAAGGGTTTATCACCTTTTACGGAATACAGCATCACCGTAACTGCGAAAAGGATTGGTCAGCATGACAAAATACAAACTTATTTAACGAAGTCAATGCCGTCAGGTGGATGAGCATTTATCTCTTTAGAATTAACGAATTCATTATTTTTGTTTATTGCAGCACCACAACCAGTAAACACTTCACAATTATATTCTAATTACGAAGACACTTTATTTATAAGATGGAAGGAAGCCTTTCCACCAACAGGAAAAATAGAAGCGTACAATTTTACTCTCAGCGATAACACGTCAATTCTTACTACAACGAATCGTACGTCTTATTGCGAAATGTGGCCCGAATTTCAGTGCACAAATATACGGCGGAAAAAGAAAGTTAGCGTTTACAAAGTGACGGTGAGTTTGTAAGAATCTTATAAGTTTCATTAAAAAACAGTCATATATAAACTGACAAGTTTGAAGCTGAGCCAAATAAACAAAACTGTCCTAGGTTCAAGCCAAAAACTACGGAGTCGCAGAATGGAGTGAACCCATTAATTTTAATATAGAAATCAAAAATGGTTTGTCTTTTATTTGTGTAAACGTAATAAATTAATTTGATTTTACAGTAACTGAAGCACCTCAAAATTTGCGGATCGAAGTAAGTCCACAATCAACGGACGAAGTGATACTCAGATGGGAGTACCCACCTTACACATATGGAAAAATTGAAAAATTTTATACAGTACTACGCAGCAGCAGAGGGACAGAAAATAATACGATCCAAGTTTCCAATGTGATAAACTATAACAAAACTGTATAATACTCTACATGTGTTCTAAACCAGTCAACAACGTGATTGTTTCAGATTAAAATCAAGTATGGTAATAAATATAACTTCACTGCTTGGGCACAAAACGCTCATGATGGTGAAAAAGCAACGATTTATTTCGTAGTCTCTAAACCCATTTCTAAATTGTCAAATGAAACTTTTATATTATGGTGTAGACAAGATTGTTATTTAGTAAAATCAAAATCAGAATCACAAGTAAATACGAATTATAACATTACAATAAAACAACATAATGAAATCACAGAGGAACATGAAACCAAAGGATTAATTTCTCTTTCGAAAGATAAAATTTCATGCACGGAAAATAACCCACCATGCGACATCCACTCAAAGTTCCAAGACGTGGCAAATCAATCTTATTTTCTAAAAATAGACCATGAAGAAATTCCTATCGAATTTACAGCGCCTGAAGAAAGCAAGATTACATCAAAAACAAATATTATTATAGTAGTTACGCTAAGTTTAATTCTCCTCGTTGCTTTCCTTCCAGGGCTAATATACTACAGGTTAGTGCACTCGCTACAAGTTTAAAAATTTTGCTACATATTAACGCTGTAGATACAAACTTAAATCTACAGTTATAGAAGACACACTAATTATTGAACTTGACGAAAAGGAAACACTAATTGACAAAACTGACCCAAACGACGTGTCTTTTCCATCAGTCCAAATTAATGAATTTGAAAATTACCTCTTCATGTCGTTACGACAAGATGCACATCAAAATATAATAATACGACAGTTTCAGGTATACTAGAAAATAGTAACTACGAATTCAACAATTACACTTTTAGGAATTGCAAAAAACAAGAGCTGCAGATTGTATCCGTGGTCGATTAAGCAAAAACGCCAGTAAAAATCATTACGAACATATCTTACCATGTAAGCAAAAGTTAAGCAAAGTCACACCCATTCTTCTTTGTGATTTTCCAGATGACGATACGAGAGTGATTTTGACAGATAACGAAAACGGAGACTACATAAATGCAAATTACATTGACGTAAGTAATGTTCAGCTGTAAACAATTTAAATAACACATTTCAAAGGGCTACGAAAAACCGAAAAGATATATCGCCACCCAAACTCCTTTAACATGTACCGTGCACGACTTTTGGTCCATGGTATGCCAAGAAAATGTAAAAATTATAGTTATGTTGTGCAAGCTCGAAGACAATGAATGTACTAAATGCGAAAAGTATTGGCCCGACGATTTTTCTCACTTTAGATTTGGAATGTTCTTGATAGAAAATGTTTCCGTGAAGGGAAATGGAAGTTATATTCATCGAGCACTTAAGGTGAAATGGAATAATAACACTCGTACGGTTCATCACTTTCAGTTTCTGTCCTGGACCCTTAAAGACGTACCGTCGTCTCCTAAAAATTTTACCGTCTTTGTGAAACAATTAATCGAGCTGAGCGATGAGTATCCTGTTGTCGTCCACAGCGAGTAAGTAGTTTTAAAGGTCTGAAAGTTGTTTAACGATAACTACTTAGAGGAGGATGTGGAAGAACAGGAATATACATTTTGTGCGATATCATCTTAAGAATGAGCATTAAAGAAAAGAAGGTCGATTTTTTTAAAACGCTAGAGAAGATGAGAAATCAAAGAGGGGGTTTAGTGAGTAATTTGGATCAGTATATTTTCAGTCACTTTGTGTTGTTGGAATATTATTTTGGGAAAAACTTTTCTTCCTCGAATAAGCCGAGTGATTTTGTGTTGAAAATTCAAGAAGCTATGCAAGAAAGTGCTGTAAAACGATTTGTCGATCGCTTAGATAAAGCTACGGAGCACTGCCGTACGATTTCTCTAGGTGGGTACAGTAAATTCAAGTACTTATTCAAACAGTGCAGCATTTTCCGTTTTGTATAGATGACACGTTTAACAACATCAGAGTTATCGCTGTGGACTGCTTCAATTATCCCGGAAGATTTATTGTAACAGAAGAACCTTCAGCAAATAATCTATGCAGTTTTTGGAACCTAGTCGCAAACAATGAAGTCGAAATAGTAATATGGTTAAACGGAATAGAGGACAATGACGAGGTAAATATTTATATATTCTAAGTATTACTACTACACATGATCATCTAAGGAGTATTCAAGTTTCTGGCCTAAGGACACTCTCCACTGGTCTCTCAACGAATCAAATAAACTCGATATTGTATGGCAAGAAAACACTAACGACACATATAACACAATCACTATCAAAATCGACACAACTGGTAAGTCTGAAGAAAAATTCGTTAAAATTATATACGTTAAAACCTGGGAACGTACAAGTGCTGCGCCTTCGAACACGAAAGGCATAATCGACGTTTGCGATAAAATTGTGCCGTATAATGGGCAAATTGTTGTCACGTGCTAGTAAGTAAAATATTGAGGTTTGATCGTTATTTATATCATTGTTAACATTAAAGCGATGGAACAACAGCCAGTGGCCTTTTTGTAGCCTTGGTCTTTTTGTTGGAAAAAATTAACACACACCGGTGTTGCAACGTTTTTGAGGCCGCGAAGACCGTCAAACAAAACTGTGCTCAGTTTTTAAAAAATCCTGTAAGTTCTTTGACTTTGTACTTTCCAATTTTTGTGATTTCTGTTTTAGGAACAAATTAAATATCTGTATGAAGCAGCGTTGGAATATGTTCGAAAATTTAATATTTATGAAGTCGTAGTTTAAATCAGTTAAATTACTTAATATTGAATTCATTTATTTGTTTATAGAGAAAAGTACAAATGTAGGTTAAGTTGAATTTAATAGTGAAAAAAATGTAATACAAATAATTTTATAACGACTAATAAAGACCATACAGGTTTATTCCTTTGAAATTGCAACAATATATTTAGTTTGCTATTATTATTTACGTAACTGTAGGAAAACATTAGACAATAAGAAAGAACCTAACTGATAACAAATTTTAATAACGGGTGTACAATAAAAAATATATTTGCAGTAGGCGCTGGAACGAAAACTTCACAATTGTGGTAACAGGGCAAATATCGAAGCGTAAGTAGGCAACCAAATATACTTCAAAGCATGGATGGGTACATCACTACCATCTTAAATACAAAAAAAGTGACATTTGACGGATATTGACGTTCTGGATTTCCTAACCCTAACGTTCGTATCGCCTTTTTGCAGTTTAGTTGTTATTTCATCTTTTGCTTTGTTTGTGTGATAAAAATCAGTTCTTTTCAGAACTAGCGTGTGAGTTTTGCGTTTAAAGTCATTTTTTAACAAGAATGGCTTTTTCTGAACGACACAAAATATTCATGGTAATGTCGTACTACCGAAACGGTGTAAAAGAAGATGGAACTTGGCAATATTCAATTGGATTATGTATGGAAGAGTTTCGAGAAGAATTCCCTGATTTTGCCGTAGAGTATACGCAGTTTCGACAAACTTTAAATGTCTCGTTAAAAAATTTTCAAGAAAATGGATCTGTGACACGAAAACCTGGAAGTGGCCGTCCAAAAAAACGAACTCCAGAACTAATTGAAGAAGCGAGAGAAGTAATGGAAGAAACCCCGGGTACTTCTATCCGTCATTTATCACAACAACTTGGTTTGTCTGTTGGCACCTGTAACACTCTTCTAAAAAAGGATCTTCATTTGTTTCCTTATCGTCTCACATCTGTACATGAATTACATCCAACAGACTTTCCTCAAAGAGTTCAATACTGTGAATGGTTTCTGAATACTCTGGATATGGGCGACCACCTTGAAAAAACGTTTTTCACCGATGAAGCATACTTTCATCTTAGTGGCTATGTAAACTCACAAAACACAAGAATGTGGACTTCAGAAAATCCACACTTTTTCATTGAGTCGCCCCAATATCCCCAGAAAGTTGGTGTTTGGACTGCAATTAGCCAACGCAGAATAATTGGTCCAATTTTTTTTGACGGTAAAGAGGTTTTTAGTATTTTAACAACAAAATAATGATATTTTCATTTCAGGAAACATAAATGCTGCAAGATACCGTGACGAAATTTTAAGTGTATTCTTAAATCAGCTGGATGATGAAGAATTAGTGTATGGTTACTTTCAGCAGGACGGTGCCACTGCTCATACAACTGGAGCTACAATAGGTTTTTTGTCTGAATTTTATGAAAATAGGATTATTAGTCGCAATACACCAAATAACTGGCCGCCTAGATCATGTGATCTCACTCCTTGTGACTTCTTCTTGTGGCCACATATAAAAAATTCAATTTATACAACACCCATAAATGACTTGGAAGAATTACGGAATAGGATAACACACAAAAATAATGATATTAATAATAGTGCAAGTGTTTTAGAAAATGTGGCAAATGCAGTAAGGCGAAGGGCTAGGTTGTGTCTACAAGAAGGGGGGGTTCTCACTTCCAGCATTTGTTGTAATGTAATTCAAAATGTAACATTTATCAGGCCTTACATAATGTTCGACAGAATTATGCAGAATGCTTTCATATTGTTGTTACAGACGATTTCAATAAAGTGTCGTAGACTTATCTTTTCTTTTACCTTCTTAAGAAACAAAGTGTTGTAATGAACTGATCTTTTCAATAACCAGTATGATTTGCATACTTGCATTTATTTTTATATTTCAAAAGTAAATCGTCAAAATAAAACACTAGTCACTTGTTTTCTTTTGTAATTACTGTGGCCGGTGAGAAGAGAAATGAATGAAGTGGACTGTAATTATTGTTTTATTGTACACAACACTGGACAGTAACAGTCCACATAACTAGTCTGCTATCGAAGGACTAACAAACTAAAAAATGTTCAAGTGCGGTAAAGGCAGATGTGAAAGGGTATGGTCCGCCCAACCCTTTGGTCTTCGACTATGGTACGAGCCGCCGATAAGAAATGCCGCACTAAAAGACCGCCGCCGCCCCTTGACAGAGGGGGACCTCCCAGCAAAGAGTGCCATCAACAAAAGCGCGGGTCGCCCCAAAGAGTGCTGCCGGTTGTACAGGCCGTACCAGTAATTATTTATTAATTTTATTTGAATAATTTGCGTCAAGCAGATTTGCATTAAAGTGAGAAAATGTTTTCTAACCAAACATTATTTGCCGCTAAATGTCATTCTCAATGACCTTCAGTTTTTACGTGACTCTTTCTACACTTTAAAAAAGCCGCAAACAATTGAATTTTCAGCGCCTGCTCCAAATATATTTTTTATTGTACACCCGTTATTTCTTTCTGAAGATTGGACCTTAAAGTAGGCACATTGACAACAAGCACATTTTTTTTATGAATTTTAATCGAAAGATTTTAAGTGAGTCACCGAAACTAACTTAAATAAATATTGACTTAAAAAATATGTGCGTCTATAAATTGCTACCTAAAATACACTGAAATGTATGATCATATTTTTATCGCATAGAAAAACATCGACTTTAAAATTTGAGATACGTTTTTTTTGTAAACACTGTGCTGTTTAAATGTGATATGACTCATTATATATTTACTATTGATTTTTTTACTCGTAGGTCTTTCTTTAGTCGATTATCGAAAATTTTTCATTCTACTCAGATCATAGTGCGGCTAGAAAGAAAATGAAGTTATTTTTGTACAATTATGTTTTCGCGAGTGTGTTAATTTCAGCCGAAGTGATAACATTAATTAAAGATAGTACTATTACGTGTGTTTTAACAGGCGATTCTGTTAACTCCACTATATACATAAAAACTAAAGATAACCCTGTAGAACTTAAACGAATAATCGAAGAAATAACCAACATACATGACGATGATTGGCACCGAACAAATTGGAGTGCTGACTTTCGGCCAGTACTTGATCAACGTTGGACAAGTGAGTAAAGCACACAACAAAAGGAGATTTCTATTCTATAGCGTTTCTCAGCTTTTAATGCAGATATTAAAGATCTGACATTTAACAACCGATTCTCACTGTGTTTAAAACAACATTCGAAAATTATTTTACATGACAGGTTTTACCAAATTCACGAAAGAATGCCAATAATAAATGTGAGTATGTGACAAAAACGCATTTCATAAATTCACTAATTTTCCGCTGTTAAAGTTGAATATTACCTACTCCCCTTGTCAGTGGCGACACTACGAAATAAAGAAAAATCGTACACATGTAAGTCTAGTCAACACTGAAAACAACAATGTTGTTAATGGAACAAAACTGGACTTTGGACCGGAGTGGCTAACATTTTCTCCAGACAATTTAAATATTAAAGTACATAAATGTAAGTACTTGATCGTAAGATAACAATCATATAACAGCTATATTTTGCAGATGAATTTCGATACTCTACAACAACTAGCACAAAACCATCATACATTAACATAACATCTTTGAGTTGCGTCTCTTTCTATGTTTCTGTTGATGAAGGATGTTATCTGAAAATTTCGGTACTACCAGGAAACAACATTAAAAACATAACTGGATTTAACGAAAAGAACAAATTTAAACAGTGGAAAAAATACGAAATAAGGACTGATCCTAAAGCGATTAATCAAACGCTTTCGATTGTCAGAGGACGAGATGACAACGGTAACGAGGGTTATTGGGCAATTGATGATATACACAATTGTAGTTCCAAAATAGGTAGATATTTTTACTAAATTAAACTAAACACCGCTTCGAATACTTTCATCTTGAAATACGTGAGTATAAACCTTAGCTACAAAATGATTTTCAGTTATTTATCGAACCAACTTCAATACATCCTGGACTAACCAGTCATGTGCGGAACTAAAACAAACGAGCTCTTCAAATAAACTTTGCGACAAAACCTCCCTAGGAGAAAAATGTCACATTAAATGCGATGAAGTTTTGGGACCGTCATATCCCAATTGTGAGGAACACCGAATATGTTTGTCAGAAAATAAATGTCACTGTGCCTGGGGTTTCAAGGGAGAAAACTGTAGAGAAGGTGTTACGTAAACAACTGAAAACTGTTAAAATTACTATTTCTTATTTTAGAATGTGTAGGAGATTCTTGGGGATTAGATTGTTCGAAAAATTGTACCAACTGCGAAAAATGTGATAAGAAAACCGGATGTCAAAAATGTAAGGCACAGTACTTCGGGGAACAATGTGTGTATAAATTTCCTGTCGTGAAAAAGGCACCTATTTTAGAACCCACTGACGACGACTCGATACAAATTTTAACAAATATTGAATATGGACAAGACGAAGACACGCCAGATCATTATTATATTCAGTGGAAAAAGGTACATTGCATCTAAGTAAGTTGTTGCTTATTTTTATGTAATATTGCTAGCTTGACAGCAACGTTGGGTTCGAAAATTACACAGACCAGCAATTCCCAATTACAAAAAATAATGAATCGTTCTCAACAAATATTTCGCGGGATGATTCTTATCAGTTTAGAATAATATTGGTTCGCCATAATTCATCATTTCAACAAGATATCATCCCGAAGTTAACCGTATACAAAAGTAAGTAACTAATATAATAATACAATACAGGGTGTTTTTGAAAGGTATGTAAAAAAAGTAACGGCAAATTGGACATGAGGACACATGTCAAACTCAAAATCACCTCAAATCAATTTTTGTTTTTGAGACAAAATTCGCTAAAAAATGAATCAAAATTGGGCATACGCTACTGATTTACGGCAATTCGTTGTTTGTTAAGCAACACTTGCGGCAGGCTAATCTTACTTTCAGGTAAAGAACAATAATCGTAGCTCGACAACAGAAAGAATCATTTTTGACATATTTTCGCCGAAATGAATGCAAAGAGGTTTTCTTGAAAAATACAAAGTTATACAAATGCCGAAATGACCGACATGGTCTTAATGTATGGAAAAACATTTGGAAATGGACTTGAAACTCGACGTCTCTACGGTCGGAATTTACCAGACCT